CACGCTCACTGGCTCATGGAGCAGCTGAGGGCTCTTCAAGAAAACCCCGAATCTCGTTGCCAGTCATCGTTACTGCAGTCACATGACACCTACGTCACGCTCAATCAAGGAGACAACGAGCAGCAGGTGTACGATGTCTTCGAGGAGACGTTACCGCTCCAGACGCTCTTCACCACCGCAGGAACGTCGTCCTTGAGCACCTCACACTCTGACCTCGGCTCCCTGCAGCAGAGCTTGGGTTCGGGCAGACTGTCGTCGCGATCCAGCTTCGAGTATCCCAACCACACCTGGCCCCACAAAGGGCCGGGATACGCCTACATGGCGGTCGCAGACTCGGGGGTCTCGATGGACTACAGCCCGATGAGCTCCAGCAGGATCGCAGAGCTCGGGAGACACAGGATGTACACAAATGATTACAAAAACGAGATTTGTCCCCACAAGTGGCCACTCTCTGGTCAACACATTAAATCTGGATCAGAGTCCTGCACGGGTCCCGTTTGGTAAACCCACAAGAATTAGGGATAGTTCACCCAAAAATGAATACTCTGTCATCATTTGCTCACCTTCATGTCATCAAACCTGTATGACATTCTTTCTTCTGTGGAACATAAAAGAAGATATTTGGAAGAATATTGGTAACCAGTTGCTGGTAGCCATTGACTTCCATTTTTTTCATCCATACAATAGAAGTAAAAAAGAACCGATATGTACAGGATGTGATCTGGATACTACTACTACTACTACTACTACTACTACAAATTCATATCAGGATCTTACTGCTTTCTGTTTGAGACATGACGTTTGAGGACATATGAAAACACTAGGATTTTTCAGATGAAAAAACAAAATCGGATAAAATAAGCTAATATTATAGCATTACTATGGCAGCTATTGATGAAACATTTTTGTACAGTATACCACTAAAATACCAGTGGAGATATTTTTGGGTCTTTAATTATGACTACATTTATTGGTGGCACTTTCCACAAATAGGGTTTATTTAGTTGTCCCATTACTTTTTTTTGTAGTGAGAAATATTGAATAATTTGGATAATTATGTTTTTTTTTAAGCCTCTTTGTGGAAAGTGCCTGATGGCAGTTCATATATCATTCTGTTTTGGGTTTCCCAAGTCTGAATCTGTCTTGTAAATTGTACATAATATATTTTTTAAATATAAATAACCGTTTTCTATTCTGTTTTGTGGTTTAAGTAAATAAGTATCTTTCAGATCTGTAAAACATTAAAGCCTAGAGGAGGACGCCAGACTTAACAACCATTAACAACAAACCAAGCCTTCTTTAGGCTCCTTCATCACATGAAGGATAATTCATCCATCCATTCTTAGTTCTTCTGGTGCATTCCGGGAATGCTTGTATGGTTGATTTGGAACAGACCATTTCTCTTAAAGTCACCATGACATTATTAACATTTGCAATTCGTTTTTCTGTCATAAGTGACATTTCTGAGTGAAACAGAATTTTGTAACACAACATGTAGGGAGACCTGATTAGATCGAGAACAACGGGCGTTTCATACGAGCGTTTGCAGTTGATTATGGAGGACTACACCTTTCCTAAAACACCACTAGCACCCAATAGTTAACACTTAACCCACTTTGGTGGCATTAACCGAAAAAGAAAGTCATTTTTATCTTTTGCTAACATATTACTGACTTTTTTTGTTTTAGTTCTGTTAAATAACGTGCACTGATGAATCATTCGCAATAATGTGTATTAAGTTAATTTGTACATTTGTTTGTAATATGCAGTATGGTCAAATTACTGTACAGAAACCACCAGTGTCAGTTTTACTTGAGTTTGTCTGCCTTTCTTTATGTGTTCTTTATTCTGAAGGTTAAACCAAAAGTGTTGAATTTGTGAACAACTATGAGTTAACCAAGGTAAATTGGTAATACCATTTTTAGTATGGAAACTTGCAAAAAAAAAAAGGATATGTATGCCATTTCTGACACATTTGACATGTAGTCCTGTCTATCCAATTTTACAATCACCGAGTGTTTTATTTCATAATTGCATTGGTAATAAGATGGAAAACTTATGAATTAATCAGTTTCTAAATAACTATTTGTCTTTTTTCTATCAGCAATAAAGCTCCTATTTTGTTCTAGAAAGAAAAGGATTTTTATTTAAAGCATAAACAGACGGCATCTCACCCAGCAAAGTCTTCTCATTTCCCCCTTTTTTATGTTCTCTGTGTCAGTGTGATAGTTCATTCAAAACGTAATGACTGCCTCTCTTCTGTATACCCTTTTCTTTTGTGTAGCCCAATTTCAGAGACTTAAGAAATCAACACATTTCCAAACTGTCTTTTTTGCACCAACATGTATAAAAACGATTATGGAGCATTTGCAGATAATTGAGCCCTTGATAAGGTGATTGAAAAACTGACTCCTAACAGCTGACTGAACTGATTGAAACAGTAGTAACTCATGTTTAATTAGGAAAAACATGGAAAAGCATGAAAATGGTTGATTTGGGGTAATTTACAAATTGTAAAAAAAAAAAAAAAATCTTAAAACCTAAAATAAAGTACTAAAGAGTAAAAAAAAAAAAAAAAAGCTATGTAATCAAATATTCAATCTATTTAGATGTCACCAAAATATTGTTTAAACAAACAAACAAACAAAAACAACGTAATCAAAAGGAAACTAATAAATAAAGAGGAAAATAAAATATGTATGGATTTTTCTGTAAATAAAATGTAAAGTAGACGTACAACAAATAAATGCTGAGATTTGTTTCGTACTTAACAAATCTGCCAACTTTAAATTCACATTAAATTGTAGTTTTTTACATTGTCAATGCTATATCAATTCTACAAGTGTGGTTGACTATCTGTATTTAGTCAAGAAAAGTTTACGTTCCTTTGTCAATATCGCAAATAAACATTCAAATTTCTGATCGGGTATGGCTTGTCAAAACTGACCAATCAAAATAGGTTGTATTGTAATATGAACTTTTATTAGTTGTCTCCACATCTCTCATTTTCCTGTTTGCTTTTCTCTGGCTGGTCCAGAATCTGCTGTTCTCCCCCGAAGACCTGCCTGAACTCCAGAGCACCTCCTGCCCGCAGCACCATGTGCCACTGCTGTACCAGCGAAGGACACATGACTGACAGATACACCCGCCACTCCCCGTCACGCTTCACTTCCTCTAGCGTGCACCTCACCTGCAGGTAACGGTCCAGCACAGAGAGGAGAAGCTCAGGTGCCAGCGCTTCACTGTCCCGACTGCCTTCACATTCAGACTGAAAGGAGACCATGACTCTGCACATGCCCTGGCCTTCTGCTCTGTTCTGCAGGATCTGGGAGAGAAAAGCAGCGGTGTCGTGCAGGAGGGCCGCCACGTGGGCCACGGGGCTCAGGTCGTCCTGTAGCGGTCCAACTCGAGACCCGTGCAAATAATTATCCAGACCGTCCACGATAATCAGACAGGGAGGAGACGCCAGCTCATGGAGGGACGCTATATCTTCCACAAGCTCCTCCAAAGTCTTCACATACACAAACTTGACATTCTGTAAATTAACATGCATGAAAAAAAATTTATTTGACTTTTATTCATAAAATTTTATATTTGGCATTTTACTCTCTTTCTGATTTTAAGGTTAATATTAACCCTGCATCAGATGTGTAACATCAACATTGTCTGACATAGGAAATAATAGTCAAATATACTGTATATATATATATATATAATGCAACCGTTTACTGAATGTTTAGAAAAGCATAAAAAAATTTAAAATATTTTGCATAAAAATTATGTTTTATTTTATTTACTTTCTTTATGAATCATGTATTATGATGTTAACATCCAAAATTGGGTTTCGGTGCAGAGCAAAAAAGTCAGGTCTTCATCAGGTTTCATTCTGGTTGCAGTTTGAAAACTATTTTTTGGAGCTGTAATCTTGGACATAATTTTTTCTGTGTTTATCATATAGTATGATATAATATTAATTTGGAATGCATACTTGACCAAAAATGTGCAATTTGGTGCAGATGCTGATATTTATATGGACAAAACGTAAGATGAAATCCTGATAGCTTGTAATGTAAATCAAGATGAACAGTGTAGCCGCTACTTACATAAATGCATATAAGTTGTCACTCAATATCTCCTAATACCATAACAATCAATCAGAAGGCATGTAGCCGATTATGTACAACTGTTTTTTCAGCAAGTTTTCATTATATTGATCATTTTGAGGCCTTAGAAATGAACGTATCAAATATTATACAATAGGTTTTACGGGGTTTATGGCATTTCTGACTGAATTACCTTGTATTACATGTATTCTTTCTTCATTAATTATCTTGACGCTCATTAAACAAACCATTATCATTACCTTCAGACTCTCTAGTCTTAATCCAGGTACTGACGCTCTCAAAGACACCGGCAGAGACTGAAAAGGGGTCTGTGTGAAAAACAGCACTTTGAGACCCAGATCTGTGGCAGCTGTCACAGCTGCTAGAAATAACACAGATCTACTAACATTTACATCCCCAAGCACCAGTGTGTTTCCTTCTGCGTCAGGGGGAAATATTACATTACTCGTTACAGTTCCTGATGCGAACCGTCTGAAAACGACTCCTAAAATATCAGCCATAACAATCTGCCTTCAAATCACAGCAGTTATTAATTTTAGTGTAAGTATGACTTATCTGCAGCTACTGTACAACGTAAAGGCAACATGCTTCTTCTCCCGCGAACATGACGTCGCACCGCCTACTCTTGGAACAACGCATCTGATTGGCTATCATAATAGAGTGCTCACTGTTGATTGGCCAAATCAAAGTGTCGGTTCAAATAAATATTAAATTATCCTCGTGTTAAATTGCTAAAAATATTTTTTTTATTGTAAAATCATTTAAAAATTTTTGAACTTAAAAAAATAGTTAAAATAAAACAAGGAATAAAATAAATAAATAAATAAAAACACTTCCTTTAAGGCTACACACGGCACTTCCCTTTAAGACAAAACATAACAACTCAACAGCTGATACGAAACATGGCGGCGGTAAACACAGACTCCAAAGCCACGGGAGAGCACATCAAAGCCATTTTGCGCCGCTGCAGGGGTCGACCGAGGCTGACAGACGCGGACCGTGCTCAGCGGCGGCTCGAATCGCGGAAGAAGTACGATGTGCGGCGGGTTTATCTGGGAGAAGCGCATCAGGTCTGGAGCGAGCTGCGCCGGCGCACGAGCCTGAGCGACGCGGGGCTCGCCGAGTATCTGATCCTGCTCAATTCTGCATATGGAGAAAAATACCAGCAGAAATACGCCAAGTACGTATTCAGATTTCACGAACGCCATATTTGATCATGCATCACTTAAACTCACTGTGCAGTAAGTTGGCTAAATGTGGCATACAGTATACAGTATGTGCCTGATACAACAAAATTCGTTTTCTTTTTGGATCTTGCAAGTGTTCTTTGGTAAGCTGATACTGCTGTGTATTAGGCTCTACCTTATTGCTTAATGTTTTGTTTGTTTACATGTATGAAGTACCAAACAGTTGATTAGTAGTAGCCTACATGCTATCTGTACCATAAAGTACTATAATCTGACCTCTTCTGTAGAACACAAAAAGAGACATTAAGCAGAAAGCACAAGCTATTTTCAATACAATGAAAGGGGGAACCAGAGACAGCTGTGGTCACTATTCAACTATGTAGCTTTTCTTTTTAACATGAATGGTGTAACATGTCTCTTGTGTTGTGATGGTTAGGAGAAAAACCCTTCCTGAACAATGCAGCAGTCACAGGAAAGGTGAGTAATATTTATATTTACTAAATGTAACCTAATTAATTTTCAAAACCAGTGTTTCCTGAGCCTCTCTCTCTCTATACACTACTGTTAAAAAGTTTGGGGTTGGTACGATGTTTTTGGAAAAGTCTTTTATGCTCACTAAGACTGCATTTGTTTGATCTAAAAACTGTAATATTGTGAAATATTATTAGAATTAAAAATAACTGTTTTCTATTTTAATATATTTTAAAATGCAATTTATTCCCGTGATGCAAAGCTGAATTGTCAGCATCATTACTCCAGTCTTCAGTGTCACATGATCCTTCAGAAATCATTCTAATATGCTGATTTGCTGCTCAAGAAACATTTCTTATTCTTATAAATGTTGAACCATTTATTTAAAAATAGAAATCTTTTGTAACACTATAAATGTCTTTGTCACTTTTGATCAATTGAATGTGTCCTTGCTGAATAAAAGCATTTGTTTGTTAAAAAAAAAGTGTAGTGTATCATCTGCTTATTTGTCTTTATTTTATTTATTTATTTTGCAGGGAAGAAGGTGTCTGCCACCAGCTTGCAGACTGTGGCGAGCTGGTATCAAGGTCACTGTCAGTCGTGTCAGCATGAGCCTGAGCTGCGGGCCGTGGAGCCCACTGTGGGTTTATCTACATCTGCACTGTGGCAGTGTGTGGCGGGTCATTCGTTTGTGCAGAACCTGCCCTGGCCTGCAGGAGGCGAGTCCGAGTCGGACGTGGAGGACAGTGTTATGGAGAAAGATGAGGAGGACAGGCCTCCAGAGAAGAAAGCTACTGTCAATGAGAGTATCAACATCAAAAGGAGAAAACTGCAAAACCACGGGCAGCTGCAGGGTATGAAAATCTTACTTGCGTGTATATATCGTATTGTAGGGCTTCCCAAATTGTCTTTTTTGTTTGCCGAACCCCTTAGATGTAAAATAGTTTCTTAAATAATTTAATGATGCATATACATTTTCACAGTTCTCTGATGATGGTTAATGTTTGCATGACATGCAAACAGAGTTATTATTGTTAACTAAAACCATAAGAAATAAGAAAGTAAAAACTTGAAAGAAAATAAATGTTTACTGATAAAAAAACTAACTTTAACTTATTTTATTTCAACTAGTTGTCAAGTGTCAATAGTTGTCGATTTCTCATTTTTGTTTAGTTTGAACTGAAATACAAAAATAACTAAAACGAAATAAAAAATAAATACTATATAATGTAGATACTATGCATTACATACTATATAAATACTATACATTCAAAAAACAAAAGCTAATAAAAATGCTGAAAAACAAAACAATTGCACTAAAACTTTAAAATAAAATAGAAAAATAAATTATAATTCAAAATATGAGCAGAAACTATAATAGTATATCAGTGATACTAAAATACCACTGTATGCAAGTAAACATAAAATATTTAATCTTTTAAGTAAGCGTTTTTTTATTGTATTTATCTTAAACATTTGTATATTTGT